TTGGAGTCAATTCAAATTAATTTCTTAACTTTCCAAACCATAAGCACTGTGAATCTGAACCCCAATCCCACCTTGAGAGTGGTATGGGGATTCTCAAGGGAGAATCTTTTCCCTTCCAGAAATCACCCTAGATCAGCAACCCCCAACCTTTTTGACAACAGGGACCAGTTTTGTGGAAGACAGTTTTTCCATGGACTGGGAGCGGGGTTGGTTTCAGGATGATTCAAGTGCATTGCATTTATTGAGCATTTTATTTCTATTGTTCTTACTTCTGTTCCACCTCAGATTATCAGGTATTAGATCCTGGAGTTTGGGGACCCCTGCCTTAGATAGGCAATGTTCTTTTCATTTTCCTTTCCTGATGATAGGTATCTTTTTTCCTACTCCAGTCTATTAATGAGGATAAAAGCAGCCTGGTTCTAGCTTTTGATCTTACACAGTCCTGAACTCTGTACTCCTAATTCCTTCTTGACAATGAAAACTCAGGGGTCTAGGATCCTGGGAGTGTCCAGTGAACACCCTCAGGGCAGCATCTACTTTGCACAATAAAATAAATTAATGTAATTAATTGAAAAATAATTAAAAATACCTTAAACAATCATTATTTATTAATACTGATTACCCACATTAAGAATATACATGTGTTTGTGCTTATGAGATACTTTAAATATGAATTTGTTTCCTTCTTGTGACATCAAGGATTACATAGACAATTTTGTGTTCAACTGATGACTGAAAAGATTCAGAGACTTAAAAAAACATTGTTTTCAAGGTCAAATCAAATTGGAAGCAGTCATTCTTCATTCCATTTATAAGACCTAGGTAACTTGTCTTGGTAAAACTAGTACAAAAAAATGCCTTTTTGTAGATAGGTAGTTAGAATACCATACAGAATTCATTTTTGACTGTCAAAATCAAAATTATTTGCAACCCGTAGATTCATACAACCTTGTAGGCTGACACCTCACTTAACTGTTAAATCACCTAAAAGATTATCTTGTCTTTCTTTTATGTGAATTCAGGAGCATAGAGCTATTTAAAATTCCTTCTCTAGAGATATTCTATTAGGAGTATTATATTTCTTTGGCAGTCCTAAAGAGAACCAGCTCAATATTTTAACATCATATTTTTCAAAGCTATTTTGGGTTATTTTTTAAAAAGTTAGATTGAAACCTGAGGGAAAAAAATATACACTATGTATATGGGATGAATTTCAGCAGGGTTCTATAGCTCAGGGTTCTTTCACACCCTGTCTAGTGTCTAGATAAACCATTCTCTATTAGCATAGCAACATTCAAATATGCAAGTGATTAGTAAGTAAAAGCATAAATAGGTAGATTGTACTTTTACCTACTACCCTCTGCATGTTTGAATATGCACAAGCATATATATTGTGTTTTCACATATAAGCTTTAGAATGTTCCAGAAGGGCATAAGAATAAAAGAAAAAATAAGATTCACTGTACCATTAAAAATAGTCTACAAGACCAGTGCAAATGTAGGGAAAAGGAATTATTGAAGCATAGCTCAGGTAATTTTAAAAGACTGATGTTAATAGGCAGTAGAAGCTTGAACACATTCTGAATTATAAAATGAAAGAAAATAGTGGACAAAGAAGATGATAGCAGTAATAACTACCACTTACTGAGCTTACTGAGTTCTTACTATACATTAGAAATACATTGAGTGCTTTACTTAGAAAGTCTCAACTCTAAGAGAATCCATTTATCAAGTGTTTAATACATGCCACTTTTATCCATAGAACAGTTTTTTGAGTTAGGTACTATTATTTGCCCCATTCTGCAAATATGGTAACTGACATTTAACACCTTTATCAACTTGCCCAAGGTTACATAAACTTTAAAGTGTTAAGTCAAATATCAACTCCAAGATAGGCTGCCTGCAGACTATACTCTATAGACTGTCTGCAGACTATACTCTCTGTTATATTGTTATCTAACTACTTAAGCCTTCTCTCAATCCCGTTGTTGTTGCTGTTCAGTCACCCAATCATGTCTGACTGTGACACCATGGACTGCAGCATGCCAGGCTTCCCTGTCCCTCACCATCTCCCTGAGTTTGTCCAAGTTCATGTTCAATCAGTGATGCCTTCCAGCCATCTCATCATCTGATACCCTCTTCCCTTACCCTCAACCCCGTTAGGGTATGTCTAATCTGTCCCATTTTAAAAGTGGACAAATAGAGGTAGAAACTAAGTAACTTGCACAGGATTACTTGTGAGTAATATTAATAGTGTCCAGTTTAAAACTGGTTTAGTCTATTTCAAGACTTTATGCACTTTCTACTATATTATGCAATCTTTGTGACAGTATTTTTCATTCTTCAGTTATACATTCCTTTCGTCATTTATTTAACAAATGTTTGTTGAGCACTTATACCATGCATTCTTTAGCATGTATTTAAAATTTTTAAATAAGAGTGTCAATGCAAGAAAATGTGCAACTATCACTGGTAATTTTATGATACTATGATTTTCTATCATAAATATCTTAACCTCTTGGTTTATTTGACATTGAAACTGAGTCTAAGTTTTATATCAGATTCAGTTTCCGGAACAATATGCTTGACTTAAAACCTACCCTATCATTGCAGAGATGATTAGTTTTATTTCATAATTCTGCTTGAGTGATTGTTTAAGTAGAAAAAATGGGTAATTGTTTCCTTTCTAAGTCCTTATCCAAAATAGCCCATTTAATAAGGTAAACCAATATTTGGACTTATCAGGAGAATGTGCTTTGCCAACAAGTAAGTAAAAGGGTTTTTCCGCATCATTAACACTTGATGTTGGGATAGTAGTTCTTAGAGGGAGTCTCAGAATAAAAGCAGTAGTGATGTCAAGAACTAATTGACTGATTTTAATTGAAGAACATTTATATGACAGTCCAATATACTCAACTTAGTTTTGCTTTTCTTTAAAAAGCTGAAACTCTTCTTCCCAGTAGTAATTAAAAATAAATAGCAGTCATTTACTTACTGTGGGCTTCTAATGGCCACAACATTGCTTCCTCGCATAAATGATTTACTGATCTATAGCAAAGTAATTCAACACTGAAATTATCTTGAAAATTAAAAACCATTCTAGATAATGAATAGTTTCAATTTCTATAGCACCAATTTATGTATAGTTTTCCTTTTTAATGTATTCTTCTACACATATACAATTTACTAACAAAAATGGTCTGATTGAGACTCCACCTCCATGAACCATGTATAAAGCTCAGACTCTGAGCTAAGTTAAGTCTATAGACTTGGGAGTGACATTTATTCATTCAGCTATCATTTATTGCAAAGTTTCTTTAAGCTAGATATTTTCTGGAATTCTTTTGGGAATGAAAGAAGAAAAAAGTAGTCTCTGAAAAGGAATTATTATAGGTTTAGGATAATATTTAATCTAATTTCATCCCTTTTATTTGGTTACTATAATTTATGTGACCAATCCCTTATTGATTATTTAAAAAGATACTTTTTTATTGCTGTAAAAGGTCTATATTGAGCATATCTGGTAATAAATATTAGTATTTCTCATTATTTCTTCGGAATGTATTTCTAACAGTAAATAACTAGGCTAAAAGACACATACATTTTAGTTTATTAATAAATTTGACAAAAATCTACCCCAAATGGCAAAATAGGAAAAAAAATTTGTATCGTTTTACATTGCTACCAACACAGTATGAGAGAGCCTTTCCTTATTTGTTTTCTTGTCAGACTTCAGAAGATAGAATATTCCACTAAATGTACCTCATTGATCATTGCTCTCCAAATACTGTCTTCAAAATTGTTAAGGAGTATCTCATTTTCAAGAATGATTTATAAAGTCAAATGGCACTAATCAAAAATTTTTAGTTGACATTGTTAGCTTGTCTTTGAAGAGATCATCTAGCTTTCTTTCTTGAATATTCTGAATTTTAAAGCATTAAGAGGTTATAAAAAAAATCTGTCATTTGGTTTGAGACATTTATTTGACTAAAAAAGTGGACTGCAGCTGGCCAAGATGACCAATGATGTAAAAGCAAATGTCAGAAATGAAGTAGATCTGTATTTTGTTGGGGCTTATTGGGTTTTATTTAAAAAAGATACAGGATATTATGAATTAAGTACCAAACCATTTTCTTGTGTTAATGCATCTTGTTTAAGCACAAAATTCTACCTACAAAAATATGAAAACAAAATACTGTGGGTAGGTTTACAGGGTCCTAACAGTGTCAGACTTTATTTTTGGGGGCTCCAAAATCACTACAGATGGTGACTGCAGCCATAAAATTAAAAGACGCTTTCTCCTTGGAAGAAAGTTATGACCAACCCAGATAGCATATTAAAAAGCAGAGACATTCCTTTGCCCACAAGGGTCCGTCTAGTCAAGGCTATGGTTTTTCCAGTGGTCATGTATGGATGTGAGAGTTGGACTGTGAAGAAAGCTGAGCACCGAAAAATTGATCCTTTTGAACTGTGGTGTTGGAGAAGACTCTTGAGAGTCCCTTGGACTGCAAGGAGATCCAACCAGTCCATCCTAAAGGAGATCAGTCCTGAGTGCTCATTGGAAGGACTGATGTTGAAGCTGAAACTCCAATACTTTGGCCACCTCATGCGAAGAGTTGACTCATTGGAAAAGACCCTGTTGCTGGGAGGGATTGGGGGCAGGAGGAGAAGGGGACGACAGAGGATGAGATGGCTGGATGGCATCGCTGACTCGATGGACATGAGTTTGAGTAAACTCTGGGAGTTGGTGATGGACAGGTAGGCCTGGTGTGCTGCGACTCATGGGGTTGCAAAGAGTCGGACACAACTGAGCGACTGAACTGAACTGAACCACATCTTATTTAAAAATAAAATTCTACAGTAGCCTTACACTTAACCTGTAATAATCCATTGCATCTTTATAATCACAGTTTTGTCCTTACTGAGTTTGTATGCTTCCCTATTTGAGCTCTTTCTTTACTGATCTTTTCTCAATAGTTATTTATTTTTTTTATTTTTAGAACTATGGGACACAAAAACCGCTATGTCAAAGTCCCCCGTGGTCACATCTGGGTTGAAGGTGATCATCATGGGCACAGTTTTGACAGTAATTCATTTGGGCCGGTAAGTCATCTTATTACTGATATGATTGGATTTCAAATATAGAAAGAAAAGTACATCACAGACGTTGTCCACAAAGTTTATAGTGGAACACTTTATGTTTGAAAATTTCCTTTTAAGTATCATATAGATAACTTAAGCTGTCAGTAGGTGTGTAGGTGTGTGTGTGAGTGAGACATATATATTAGACAACTCAGTCAAGTGCCAAAAGATGCTTTCAGCCTGCTATGATCTCAATAGAAATGGTTGTTTTTTTCTCACATAAATGTTTTGTACCTTATGTTTTCAATTAGTATTTAACAGAAATACTGTCTTAAAAAACCTATAGACATCAATTTTCTAAATCAGTAGTTTAAAAGGCATTTATAATGGAAATCATATTGGCTAAGTAACATTTTTCAGCTTTTAACTTGTAACAGAAATGCTCATGTTCCTTATACCATGTTTATATTCCATAAAATATGTGATTAAATTCATATTTTATAATTTTTTTCAGTTTTGAATGCATACGGAAGTGCTCTATTTATGAACCCCTGCAATAACTCATTATGTAAAGAATATTTTAATTAATGGAAACTGCCTTATTTCTCTTTTATTAATAAGATTAAATCTGTTAAATGTATCATGTTGACCAAGTCCACATTAAAATATAAACTTTAGTTTGGGTTTTAATTGAGAGAATAAGTGTCTCTGAAATGAAGTGTTAAAAGTTTTGCTGTTCTGTTATCTAGTCACCTGTGTCTCTTTAAAATCCTAGATCTTCAACCCATTAGATTTTCCTATATCTAGACATGTCCATACTTGTATGTATGTAAAAGATAATGTTGAGCTCCGTTACATAGGTTTGCAAAAATATTATTCACATCCTTTTGTCTAAAACTAAATGGTTGGTGGTCTATATAAAGCATTTTTCCTCACCTGTTGTGAGGACCCACTATTAACATCACTGGAGGAGTGGTCAGTTTACTCATCTTTGACTAAAAGTACAAGAGACTTGGGGTTGGATAAGTGTTTATGTGTGAAGTGGAAGGGAACTTTAAGAGACATCTACTTCTTTTTCTAGCTGCAATGATAATAATAAAAATACCTAAGGTCTTTCTTGCTTTTGCATAGTAATTATTAAAGAAATACAATTTAACCATTGTAAGGTGTATCAGAAATGAAATGAACAGCCTGGAATTGTAGAGGATCCCTTGGAGAGTGTAGTGTAAGTGACTGTCATGCAGAAACTTAGTAGCAACTTGAAAGTGAAAATAAATCACCTAAAAGCAGTTTTATTTCTTTTTCATCAATAAAATTAAATCTATTAAGTGTATCATGTTGGCCAAATCCACATTAAAATGTAAGTTTTAGTTTGTGTTTTAATTGTGAGGGTAAGTGACTCTGAAATGAAATGTTAAAAATGTTTCTGTTATCAGTTGCACATGTGGGGTAAATAATTCACTTTTCACTTTCATGCATTGGAGAAGGAAATGGCAACCCACTCCAGTGTTCTTGCCTGGAGAATCCCAGGGACAGCGGCGCCTGGTGGGCTGCCATCTATGGGGTCGCACAGAGTTGGACACGACTGAAGCGACTTAGCAGCAGCAATAAATACTAAAGCTTGAAATTGAGTTGCTTTTTCTTTATTACTAAATGAAGCCAATGCAATCTTATCTATATAATTAGTATTATTGTCAGTTACTGATATTCTAGAAGCTTTCTTATTTGGGAGAGAAAAATAATAGAGTTGATAGCCAAAATACTGGGAATTGCAGTTCCAACCTTCAAGATCATATCTATTGTGTAGTTCTTTCTGGGTTCTCTTTCCTGCTGTGTACTTCATAGTAGTACTGTGAACCATTGAACTTTAAGTAGACCTATGTAAGTTGAAAGTATATCAGCTATGAAAATATCTTCTGTCACTTATATGTTTAAAAAAAGAGAGAAAGAAAAAGTGAGAAACTTGTATGAAGGACAATCTCATTGGGTTTATTACAATAAGAAACTACAATATGCAAAACATTAGCAAATATATTCTGTGTAGGACCTTAATGCCATTGATTTACATCAAGTTTTTAAATTAAATATTCTTGAATTTACAACTTGAAACCAGTAATATGAGTCAGAGACATAGAACCACTTTGAAATTTAGTGATTTTTCTTCTTTTTTTAATGGATATAAATATATAGATTCAGAATGGCTTTTGGTTCACAAGTTGGAATAAACTATAAATTTCCATTCACTTAATTTGTATAGTTTTTATTTGTCAAAATTAGATGAAGAACCTGTACTAGAATGAAGGAAAACATTTGTCACATCATATACTAACCTATTTGTATTTATGACTTTTAGTATATATATTTTTACCCTTACAGTAGATTTCATATTTGTGTTCCAATAGCATTTATGACTAGGAATAGTGATTAGTAATGATGTTCCCAAATGAGTTTAAAAGAATAGAGGGGAAAAAAAATGAATTAAAGGCCTACCATTTTTATTTAAAGCTAAGCTCTGATGTTTGAGTACGGAGATCTCATATTACATTTTTGATCAAGTAATGGTTATCTGAATATTTTAATTATTTTAACATTTTTATAATTCTAAAAAATAACAACTAAAGTTTTACAATTCTAAAAAAAGGCAAAATAATCTTGAATCTTAAAACGCATATGGACTTGAAAGCTGTTATATTTTTCCAATAATTCTCAGTTGAAATTTTTGGCTTATCCATCAGTAATACTGGAGATTGTGGAAGGTCAGGAAGTTTCAGGGTTTCTGGATTGTTGATTTATTTCTCCCCCTTGGAACAGGGAATGCACTTTTCCTGGAAGTAAGCTCCCTATCTAAAATCAGCCAGAATTGGCTCTAGGGTGCTTGTCTTGACTTTGTAGAAATTGACTGAAGTCTTTACCCTTTGTTTCCCTCCCGAATAACTTCAGAATTGTAGCTAACTGGGTTTAACATGCTTTAACTTTTTGAATTGTAATTCTACTTTATCATAGCATCTCTTCAATTTATTTTAAATTGTTACCTATGGGTAATCACGATGGAGTTGACTTTTTCCATATTCAAGTAAATTTTTAATTGTAATCTAGAAAAGAAGAAGAAAAGAATGTCTTACTCTATTTTTTCCCTCATTTGTTCTAAAATTTCCTATTTATTTTTTAATATTTGAATTTTCTTTTCTGATTTGGTTTATTGCCACTGTATGTAGGCTCAAGAAGGAATTAAATAGTTTTATGGATGAAAGATGAATAATGGGTTATAAATTTAAAGATAGCAAAGTTGTTATAGTAATAGAATGCATTTCAACAGAATGAGATCCAACATCTGCACTTTTAACTTGTAGAGGATGATGTTACGGATAGAATCCAGTAGACTCCTTTACGAACATAGATATAGTAAAACGGAAAATCAGATAACTTTAGTTTTGGACCTCATCAATCACATAACTTGTATGGTCTACATTTCTTCATGTATAAAAGGAAGAATTTCCTCTCCTCTGAATTCATCTTAAGTAGATATTTAATGTAATGAGCATCAGTTCAGTTCAGTCGCTCAGTCGTGTCCGACTCTTCATGACCCCATGGACCACAGCACATATAATTTATTTAATGCACTTCTATTTCAGATTGCTGAGAATGTTCACTAGAAACAATGATGTATTTTTGAATATATATAGAAAAAATGTTTAAAAAACACCTTCAGCAACCTAAAATAGGAATACAATTTAAGTATGTTTCATTGATAGGATAAAATATTATGCAGTCATTAAAAATCTGTATTTATGAAGAATTTAATGACAGCACGTTCATGATATTGTTTTAAGTGAATACATGAAACTAAAAAATGGATTGTGATGTTATGTTTTTTGAGCCAGGAGTTATGATTATGGTCAATTCTTTTTTATACCTTTGCATTTCACTATATTGTAAAAGGTCTGCAGCAAGTTTTTATTATCTTTATAATCAGAAGAAAACTAAGTATTCAAAAAAATAAGATAAAGGTGATTAAAGTAATGACCTCTAAGTTTCATTCTAAATTCTCTAAAAATGGCTTAGAGTGCCATGGCCAAAGGGAAGAATATTGATATCACAGATATGACTGGGTAGAAAATGTTTCAGTTATGAATGTCTCTATGGAAGATCTCTATACCAAACCTCTTGAATATATCATCATTGTACAATGATAGAAAGTGTCCAATCTTCTCATAATATGAATTCACTAATGTATGACTTTAGCTTAGGTTTCCAGTGTGAAAAATATACTTTGTTAGTATACTTTAAGGGTTTTATTATTGTCTGAAAATGTTTTTCAGTACATATTGCTGCTTGATTTCACTGGAATATGCATTAAAGATAGCCAATGAATGCTTAGAAAATTCAGAATGCACTTCTCGTAATAATTTTTTGCTCTGTCAAAGACTTTACGGCCTTTCCTTTTACCATCCTTGCTTCTGTGTAGATGGAATTAATATAATTTCTATTGAGGTATATTCCTTACCACCACCCAAAAGTAACTGATTACTATAGATACTGTTGAATTTTTGCTTGCTTTAGAAGGAAAGCTTGTAAAAGTCAAGCTTTTTATTTGTATGTGTGTGCACATAGCATTGAATTTTCAAATAGTGATTTTTAAACCATTTTGGATTAGCAGACTCTTCATTGATTAAAAAAGACAGGCAGCCATTCTTTCTTTGATTTATTATAAATATTCATTGTATTACTTATATTTGAAATGGTTTCATAGACACCCATTCTTTTTGGTGAAAACATAGGTTCACCCTTTCTATGGCCTCCATTTAGCTTGTACATTCCCTACCTTTGAATTTCTTTCAGTTAGTTTAATCTAGTTTTAAGTCACGAGGCACTGAAATTCATTCATTACTTGCTGTATAAAGATTTGTTGTCAGAATGTATGTCATGATTGAAATTCTTGGGTTATAGTATCTAAAATAAATAATGTGTTTTAATTTCATTCACCAAAGAATATTAGGGAGAAAAAAAACTTTTGGTATAAA